AGTTTCAATGTGTAATCTGAAGTTCTCATTTCCACTAAAGGAGATTGTAGGAATTTTTTTTTTTTAATTTTTTTTTTTTTTTTTTTTTTTTCCAAGGAATCATGGGAAAATAGGAGTTTCAATGTGTAATCTGAAGTTCTCATTTCCACTAAAGGAGACTGTAGGAATTTTTTTTTTATTTTTTTTTATTTTTTTTTTATTTTTCTCTCCAAGGAATCACTCTTGGTAGGAGCCCATCCCCTCCACTGTCTTAAACTAGAACTTTAAACTTGAAAGAATAAATGTAATTCAATATATGCACACCTACTCCTGGTAGGAGCCCATCCCCTCCACTGTCTTAAACTAGAACTTTAAACTTGAAAGAATAAATGTAATTCAATATATGCACACCTTGGTGCTGGGAAAGCAGACAGCTGGAGAAAACATGAGCAGAGTTGTAACAGATGCTACCCCTTCTATATTACACATTCCTTTAAATAGAATTTTTTATAACTAAAAAAGGGAGGTCGAGCCTCTCATTCTGGTCACCTCCCTCAGTCCATGGGCCTCCCAACCTCCAGACCTTCTCCATGTCCCAGCACACCTGGAGACCCTCTTGGCCTCCCCTCTCACATCAGCACCTTCCCCTCCACCTGCACAGCAGCATCTTCCAGAGCCTCAGCTCCCTCCTGTGGACTCTGCTCTCCTGCTCTCAGTTCTGTGGTTTCCTGCCCCACAGCCTCAGCTCCCACAGTCTGGAGACCACAGCCCCAAATCCTGTGCCAGGAATAACAACCCAGTTCCTCTAGAACTCCAAAAGCCTTTCAGCCCCGAAGTCACCTTGGCCTCCACCCCTGCTCAGCCCCAGCTCTCCCTCATTCTGCACCCTGGTATGGGTTCATCTCTCCCTCAGCTTCCCCAGGCTCTCAGTTCCTGCTCCAGCCCAGCCCTTTTCTTGCCCTCCCCCCATCTTTGGCGCTCTGTTCATCTCCTGCATCCTTCAGCCTCCCTCTCCATCCATGCTCTGCTCCTGCTCTGTTCTCCTTGGGTTCCTGCTTGTGCTCAGACCTCCAAAGCCTCTTGGCTTCTCCTCAGCCCTGGCTCCTCTGTCTCTGCCTTCCTCAGCCCATGTCCCCCACCCTCCCCGGGGCCCTGATCCCCCTCAGATGGGGCCCCCAGCACTGACAGCCCCACATCTCCTCCTCCTCTGGGTTTCCCTTCCCAGACTCTGCAGGGAGAATCCCAGGATGGTTTGGGTTGGAAGAAATCTTAAAGATCATCTCATTCCACCCCTGCCATGGCAGGGACACCTTCCCCTATCCCAGGCTGCTCCAAGCCCTGTCCAGCCTGGCCTTGGACACTTCCAGGGACCCAGGGGCAGCCACGGCTGCTCTGGGCACCCTGTGCCAGGCCCTGCCCATCCTCACAGGAAGGAATTCCTTCCCAATATCCCATCCATCTCTGTCCTCTGGCACTGGGAGCCATTCCCTTTGTCCTGTCCCTCCATCCCTTGTCCCCAGTCCCCCTCCAGCTCTCTTGGAGCCCTTCAGGCCCTTCAAGGGACACTGAGCTCTCCCTGGAGCCTTCCCTTCTCCAGCTGAACACCTCAGCTGTCCCAGCCTGGCTCCATGGCTGCTCCAGCCCTTGGAGCAGCTCTCTGGACTCCACAATTCCACATCCTGTTTGTCAGGGGCTCCAGAGCTGGAATCACTGCTCCAGGTGAAGGTTTTGCACTTACCTTGGGGCAGGACCAGCACCTCCTCCCCTGGCACCAGGGCTGGGAATGCCCCCAGCTCTGTGCCCCCTCTGCCCAAGCACTTCCCAGCAAGGACAGGGAATTCAGGAGAAGGAAAACCCCCAGCAGCAGCCAGTGCCTCAGCAGGCTGCCCCTTTCCAGCAGGGAGCTCCTGGGGACACGTGGATCCAGTCCAGCTCTGGTGCCCTACAGACCTTCAGGACACCCCAGGAACCCCTGGCCATGGGATTCATACAAATAGATTCGGAGCCTCCTTTAAAAACAGGACAGAATTAAGTGAGCATGTGCCACAAGTGTTGCAATTAGGGCATCCCTGGAGGATCAAGAGGCATCAATTATTCAAATGAGAAGGTTATTAGGGCCATGCCTGTGCTAGTGAGAGCAGGAGCTCGCCCTGTGTGGCACCAGGAGCCCCAGCTGGCTCACGAGGTCACTCAGCTCACACCCAGGCAAAGGCAGGGCTGGGACAGGGCTGCTCCTCCTGTCACCATGTGGTGTCTCAAAAATTGGGGAAAACACTCATCAGAGGCCAAGTCCTGCCCAGACACAAGAGGGGAGCATCCCTCACCCTCCCCTCTTTGTGGGAATGTAACTGCAATTATCAGCACTGAAAAGGTAACAGAGAGCAACTTGAACAAATCAGCAGGAAAATAACAAACACCAAGGGGAATCAGTGGATTTGGCATTTTACAGCCACTGGCCAGCAGCTCTGAAGGATCACACCTGGAGACATCAGTTCCAATGTCAGAGGGACACTGTGAACAGGACACCAGCAATTCCAGATGGGATAAGTCCAACCACATGGAATTAAAGGCAGGATCCTGAGCAGGATCCCCCCCACCCAGGGTTTAACCAATTCCCACACTTCTGCTTTTTCCATCAGGCACCAGCATCAGGCAAAGCTTTATCTCTACTCGAGAGGCTGAGGGACATGAAAATGAAGCTAAAAGCACTTTCTGGCTATTTCTGTGTCCCCTGCAGAGCTGTGTTCGCTGCTGGCAGGTAACAGAACACGCCCCACCGCGAGCCTGCGCCAGTCTTTGTTTCCAGTCCTTTCTGCAAATGCCTTCTCCCAACAGAGCCAGCCGTGCCGATAGAAAATGAACCTCAAAACAAACGAGTCAAGCCCGAACTGCTGCCCTGGATGAGGAGCTGTCACTGCAGGCTGTCAGCACATCAGGGAGGCTTCGCTGCACCCTCCCTCCGGCTGCTCCGTTTTCCTACAGGCGATGTTTTTTGGGAGTTCCGCGGAGGAACCTCCCGGCTCTGCCGGGAATAATTCCGTGCCTGAGCTGCTGAAGGGATGGAGGGGGACAGGGGGCTGTGTTTGAGGGAAAGCAGCATGAGGGGCAGCGCTGTTCCTACGCCAGCAGCTGCTCTTCCATTTTTATAGGAAAAGGGAAAATGCTGTCCCCTCCTCTCGGAACCGGCATGGATTTACTGCTGCTGGGAACAGAACCTGGTGTGATTCGGGCAGGGACACGGGGATGGGCTGGCAGGCGGGAGAGGGGGGAGAAAAGAATAATAGACCTTTTAATACCCTAAGAATCCTGCTTTTGAAACCAGAAAGAGAGCCTTGAAATGTCCCCCCGAGAACCATCTGCGCCGGTGCAGCGCACAGAGCAGAACCTCTCCAGCAGATGGGCGGGGAGGAAAAATTCAGGGTGATTTATACGGCTGCCTCGTCCCTAAACAATTTGTTCCTGAAGGCTTAACAAAGCCGGCTGCAGCAGCTCCGCCGGCTGAGCGTGTGCTGCGGAGAACAGAATTCATTAAAAGGGCAGCCAAAAGGCTCAGAGCTCGGCGCCACAAAGCGAAGGCAGCGCCGGCGTCATCCTCACCCTCATCCTTATCATCTTCATCCTCATCCTCATCCTCGGCGGCGGCCGCGGGGTGGCAGTCCTGGTCCTGCCGGGAGTGGCGATGCAGCAGCGCCGGGGATGACGAGGGGCCGGCTCTGCCTTCCTCCTGCAGCCTGCTGCATTATTGAACAGCAGCAGGCGATGCTCGCTCGGGAAGGAGGGGCCCCTCTCTCTCCTGCAGCTCCTGCTCCAGCGCAGGAATGCCGAGCTCAAACCGAGCACAAATGGGGATGGAGTTGTGACAAAGCAGGGAACGCGATGGCCTCGGTGCCACCGGGGCACCCCCGCACACCACACCCAGCCTGCTGGGGCTGGCTCGGGGTGTTCCACGCGTCCTTTCCTCCTCCGTGCCCTGTCACCGATGTACAAAACCTCCTCGTACTGTTCCACTCTGTGCGCAAATCAAAAGAATTGCAGCCGTTCAGCTGCTCTTGTAAGATGGCCATTTAAAACCCAACACACTCAGTTCCCTTGTTTTGCTGTTTTTCTGTTTATCAGGCTGTGTTAGACACCTGTACCTCATTCCTAGAGCACAGAACGAAAGGTTTGGATCCCTCCCTGCCTTTCCACACTGGCACAGCTGAGGAATGCCTGGCTGGGGATTTATGCAGAGGTTAGAGATCAGAGAAGCTGTGGTTGCCCCTGGATCTCTGGAAGTGTCCCAGGCCAGGTTGGATGGGGCTTGGAGCCACCTGGGACAGTGGAAGGTGTCCCTGCCCACGGCAGGAGCTGGAATGAGACGATCCTGAAAATCCAACCCAAACCATTCTGTGATTTTCGGTGTGACGCCAATTTACACAGTGCCCCACTGACACTTCACCCTCTCCACACGGGAGAACAAAGCTGTTTCTGCTCTTCCAGCTCTGTTCTGAAGGCTTCTTTTCCCAGGCTGTGATTCCACCCCCAGCCCAAGCTCCTGAGAGCGGGATCCAGCACGAGCAGCTCCTGCTGGTACCTCCCCACAGCGATGGAGGGGGAGCAAAGGCCCCGGAGCTGCGAGCTGAGAACACCAACACACGGGCTGTGCCACTGCAGGAGGAGAAGAGCACGTGAAGAGTTAATCCATGTGGGAGGATACAAGGAACCAATACCAGCCTAGCACATACCAGGAAAATGTGTTGTTTACTTAGAGCACTGCAGAAGGGCTCAATAGCAGCAGATCCATCGCTCAAAGCTGCCCCGGCAGCGACCATTCCCAACAGATGGTACATTTTTCACCACTGAGGTTCTCTCAAGTGTCAGATATATATAAATCCACCTTTGGAAAGCAGCAGGGGGGGGGAAAAAAAAACAAACCAAAACCAGCAACAACAAAATAAGCACTTTTGAGAAATTCAAACTTATTCACAAGATTAGAAAAAAACCCAACAAAACAAAACCAAAAAGAACCAAGACAACTCTTACAGTATAAACACACCAATTCATTCATTTTTACTGATGGTTGCATTTATGAATTTCATTCTCGTGAAAAAAGGGAATAAAAGGAAAAAAATTAAGAAAATAGCTATTTATAGAAAACAAAACAAAAAAGGGCTCAAACAACAGAATCTGTGCTGATGCTTTTGGATGAGCAGTCCGATGGCATTGAACATTACCTGTGCAAGCAGGCATGCTTGAAAACCTGTCTGAGTACTGCAGCTTCAGTTCCACAATCCAGGATTTCTTTTATGGTTGTTGGAAAAAAAAGAGCCTAATAGTTTCATACTGTATTTATTTAATAACTAAAATTCACAAATAAAAAGATACTTGCAAAGTCCTTTAGTTGTCTCATCCCCTCCTCCTCCACTCTACTGCTTTCAGACCCATATGCATAAAAAAATGGGTTTGGATTTTTAATTTTAACTGTTATATGATTGGTCGTTGGAGCTGAAGCACCAAATGGAGAAGATGCTTTATGGAGATGAGGGTAGAATCCTTTGCCTTCCCACACACATTTTTGGAGGAACACAGGAGATGTACCAGTGCCCGGACTCCTCTGCTCCCATTTCCCCCACCCAGAGCATTCCTTTCATTTTATATTTCCTCTGTTAAGTGACTGACTGCAGCCTCTTTTCCCCCTTTCTGTCCTCGTGGGACTGCACACACGTTGGACATTGTTCATTTCTCACTCTGCAGGCTGTGAGTCAGTGTCAAGTAGGTCCTGTTACAGCTCAGTGCGAGTTGGTTTGTAATGGGTCTTTTCATTTCAGGTAGGTTTGTGTGTCGATTCAGAAGGCTTGCGTTGTTTCTTCCTTGTTTACATCTGACAAGCTGCTGGATAAGGCTATTCATACTCCAGGAACTGTTTGTGATAGAACAGCAAATATCTGGAAGAGAGCAGAGGGACAGTGTCAGTTCTGTGCCAAAGGAGATGAGTTTCCATTGGTGCAGCCATAAGACATGAGGGATGTTAATTTTGGTTTTCTTTTCAATTTGAGGTGATTCCAGGGACACTAACCAGGGATGAGAAGGAGGCAAGCCAGCTGACATAATTTTAGCAGCAACTCAGGGAACTGAACAGCTGTACCTCAAAGAGGAACCCCATGGATGCCACATCCCTGGAAGTGTTCAAGGCCAGGGACAGGGTTTGGAGCAACCTGGGATAGTGAAAGGTGTCCCTGCCCATGGCAGGGGTTGGAATGTGATGAGATTTAAGGTCTTTTCTTAGCCAGGCCATTCTGTGATTCTATGAAAGAGTCAAACCTTGTAAAATCTACTCAGGACCTGAAAACTCTGGAAGATTGGATTCTGTTGGTGCTCAGACAGGCAGCAACCATTTAACACTAATGTGACACAAAATAAAGGTACTTTAAGGTACAGCTGTTGCTTTGGAGTCACACTACCAGAGATCAGACCAGGATTACTGCAAACTGCCTCCCATTTTCTGCAACAGAAGCAAAATGAGGCAGCAGCCATGTGGGTGAACACTCATGTCCCAGTCAAATATCTGGTGTGTCAATCTGCACTCAAATCTGTTCTTTTAAAGGATGAAGTTCTTCCTGACCCTAATTGCTGTGTGTGTATGGGTACAGAAGGGAGCCCAGCCCCTCAGCAGTCACACAGAACAAGGGGACTGATCTGCACACAGCCCTTACCCACCCTGGCACAGCCACTGGGGAGTCCTCAGAGCACTTCTGAGACCTTCCAATTGTTACAATTCCATCCAAGCCCTATGGATTCCCTCACAAGATGCAGAGCCACCTTGTCAGCATTTATCTGAACCAGGGAAATGTATCAAAGCTCAACCCAGCCTTTATGGGCAATAGTTGTGTTGTACATCCTCTCCTTGCCTCTGGCAGGTTCTTCCATGGGCATAACCCCACCTGAGCACCAGGCACGTGGTTACTGAATCTCAACAAACTCATTTCTCTGCTCACCTCAAAGCAGAAGCTCCCTGTCAAGTCATTTAACACTAAAATTCAGGTATTATAGATTTCTGTTTTTACTTCCCGATTGAAGTTTAAAAAAAGGAAAAACGGGAAAATCTATTAAAAAAATTACAACCTGAACACTGTGCCTGCAGCAATCCTTGAAAATGTCATGAATAATTAAAACAAAAATGGTAAAGACTTATCTCTGCAGTACCAAGTCCATAGTTGAAAGTGCAAAATGAAGACTTCAGATTTTAAGTTGCTTTTTTCTTGGAACATACACCAGTCCCCAGTGCTTTCCTCAAATGAAGAACACCACAGTGCTTCCCTTGAAAAATACTGCTCTGTCCTCCCAAAGCTTGTGTAATATAAATATCAGAAGCTATAATGTCAATCTGAGATTAATTTAAAGCCATGAGCTAAGAAACAGCTCATGTTCTCTACCTGCCTCCCATGGAGCCTTGCTATTCTGGGTCACAGCACCTCCTTAATGGCTTTTCTTCAACCCTTTTACACTCATCATAATCCAAAGGTTCTGCAGGCACAGACTGGATTGTGTCATAGAGGTAAGCACTGCTCCTGCACTAGCTGATCACATCACTTTGATTTTCAGAATCCCTTCCATTAGCAGGAGTTTGGACATGAGCAGCAGTTCCAGACTTTGCAGTCACCTGATGTCCCTTGTCCTTCCCCTCCCTTTCCTTCAGCAAATCCAGGGTTATAAAGCAGTCATGGATAAATGTAACTGTGCAGTCTTGAAGCACTGAGCATTACAGGCAACATTCAAGAGAGAAATTATCTTTCTCTATGATTAAAAGTGGTTTTTTTAAAGTAAGGAAAACCCAACAAAGGTCAAAGTTTGCCTTCCTTTGCCCTTCCCAGGGGACCACTTACCCTTCACTGTCTAGCACATCCTTAATGCTTGCCTTGGTGATAATGGCATCATCACACTTGAACCACTGGTCCTTGTGCTGCCTGATGAAGCTGGTATAGTGCCCACTCTCCAAGGTTCCCTGGTGATTAACTACTGCAAACAAGGAATACCTGGGACAGGAAACAGACCATGAATATGTGCATCAAAAGGGGGGAAACAACAGACATTTCAGACAGCCAGAAACTTTTGTTCAAAAGCAGACATAGCAATGGTAAAGGATCTGATCCATCAGTAAAACACCAGCTCTAACACTAGCTGGGAAGAGGGTGGCCTTGCCCGGGGGGAAAAAAAAAGAAGAATTTTTCTTTTCCTGTCTTGCTATTTCTGCAACTCTCCAGTCTGGTGACCACTGTCAGCTTTACCAATACTGGCTACCAAAGTTGCTTCTAAAATAGATCAATATTGGTGCACTCCTGAAGAGGACCACTGATTATCCAGTCTGACTTCTACTTCCCTGATTTACTCTAGTGAACCAGAAAAAATGCATTTGAGGTATGAGGAAGGAGGTAATCTTAGATATTTCTAATGATAAACTGCTGAACTGATTAACTGCCCTTAATCTGCAAAGCCTGTACTTTTTTTGAAATACTGAATATATTCAGACTCAACTTCCAGCTCTCAGATGCTGCTGTGCATTTGCCTGAAAACTTGCAAGCCCACCTCTGTTCCAAAAAAGATACTGATAAGCAAGTTGCTCTCATTTTGTTTTTCCTTTTCTTTTTTTAAAAGTGCAAGACTGAAGTCTTTGGCTCTTTTGTTCTAAGGTAAGATTTTGTTTCCAGTCTTAAATATACTAGTGGCTCTTTTTCAAGCATTTTCCACTCTCTTTAACTCTTTCATAAAATGCTGCCCTCACACTTTGTGTGTGACACAAGCACAGCTACATAATGGTAAAATAATCTCTCTAATCTCACTTGGCATTGTCCTACTCAAGTTCAAAATTCACAGAACTCTTTTGACACAGTGGTGCCACAACAAGGCACCTATTCAGTGACTGCCTACAGAGGCACTGATTTAGAGCCACCCTCTCTAGAGGAGCCCTTGAATCCAGCTGGGATGGACAGCACACTTCAGTCCCAGCTGGAGCCTTCTGACACTGCCCCAGCTCTTCCCTGGCACCCAGATCCCTGAGGAATCCAGACAACTTTGTTCTCATTACCTAAACCTCCTTAATTTTTAACAATTTCTCCAAGTTAAGGCATGAGCAAACCTCAAAAGTGATCAGCTGTGTTACCTTCAGACCTTTATCTAGCACTACTGAACACCCCACATCTAATGACTCAAACTGTAGGCCCACACAACACCTGCACTAAGACCTGGTTAGTTTGGTTTTACATCTTTGTGTGATTCTAGCTGACTGAAACTTTTAGTGGCAAACCAAGTGCCTTGAATTTAAATACACAACAGCAGCAATGGAACATGTAAGCTTATTTAACTGAAGAGGTAAGATTTGTGTGACCATTTCTATTCCCATACAGCAATGGATGCTAGTTTCAATCACACCCCCTTTACATTCCTGAGCAAGTCCCCCACCAGTCCATGATTTACTCTGACTGGAATCAACACCTGCCCAACAGACCCCAGGATTACTGGGATCACCTACTCCTGACTTTGAGTGTCAGTGTTCTATTAACTTTCTCTGGTCCTCTGGAATTTGCCATTGCAATCAGAAGAGGAATATTTCAAGGCAACACCCATCCCTTGTAATAAACATTGTGACCCCAGCATTTCATTTTGCCCACAGACCATTTGAGGGTACCACCCTCAGCTCTGCAACAGCTGCTACAGCCCCACGGAAGGGCAGGAACTGCAGTGAGTGAAGCTTTATTCTGCAACATTTCAGACTTACTGTGCTGTCAGATATGGTAATGCACTGGCACTGCAGGATAGAAAGCAACACTATCTCCTTCTAGAAGGCAACTACCTTTCACAATAGGAGGCATGGAATGTACCACTTACTTATTATCATTGTTTAGACTATCCGTCGGCTGCTGGTACTGCCCGTTCATTCTGCTCTCTTTACTGCAACACACACACACACAAAAATCCAGTCACTTAAAGCAGTGCCTTCCCAAACCCAGGAAATTGCTCTGACATGACACACAGCCTGTTTTCTGAATCCAGGTCCTCATTCCAGCTGAGCAGCAAAGGGCTGATTAGGATGCTAAAGATGCTTTATTTGCTCTCACAGCAGTGCTACATCACAAACACCATTTCTCCTCCTGGTCAAGGCTTCAGTGCTGCAAATACACATCTGTTTACGTCAAATGTTTTATCCAAAAAGCTTAAAAACAGGTTAAGAAAAGATTTGTATTTGAAACCCAGGAAATTATCTAATTACATCAATCCTTTATCTTGTAATGGGTCAATCATCTTGGCTCTGACTTCTAAATTCATTTTGAATTTTGACAGCAGCAATAGGATTATGCTGTTGATTTCCTAGCTGGTGAAATTCAGACTACTGAGTTATGCCTGCTGATTATCCCATCCCTATTCCATTATGCTGGATACCTTTCATCAGCAGAGCCTGTTCTATCCAGGGAGAATTCATCACAGAAGAACAAGGAAGTCTCAGGAATATATTGAAATAAACCATATATTCTTAATATAACAGTATTTAACAGAGCTTCAGGGCTCTTCTTTCTCTCTTGGTAGAAGTATCTACTTTTTTTTCCTGGGAAGTAAGAAGTGCAGGCAAAGCTTGAAATTATAAGTAAAATTTCAGCATCAAACAGAGTCTCTCTGTTAAGAGATATCATGGTTTGGGGCTTTCTGCACTGCTTCAGATATAAATTAAATCTAAATATCCTCTTGCATATTTGCATGAATGTCTGACAAACACTTTTTAATTAAGCTGATTAAATTCCTTTCATAAAGGTGCATTTATATAAATGCCACGTCTTCCACAAACCTGGGAGGTGGGAGAAGTCTTGCTGTTTCTATTTTAATCTGGGCTATGTTTTTGCTTCTTGCAGCATCCTCTAAACAGAAGTTGAAGGTACTAAACAAAAACCCCCAGATTTGCTTATGTGCAAAGGAATAAAAAGGAAGGATTTTTATAACTTCAGGAATACTGCTTAGGGATTAGGCTGGCCAACTGCACAGGGTGGCAGGTGTGTGGGCACTGAGGGGATGGGACCAAAGCAGGGGTCTGAAGGCAGGATGGATCTGGGTCTATAAACTGAACAGGCAACCAGAAACATAACAACACATTAATTAAAGAACCCCACCACAGTGTTTAAATAGAAATCCTTTTCAGGCACATGAAACTGAACAGTTTATCTAAAAATGGGTTTAGACAAGCTACAGCTTCCACAGAGAAGCTCATGGCAGAAGTGCCACCCCAGACACTGTTGTGTACCCCCAAGCATGCTCCTTGTTTTGTGCTGCAGGTGTGTGAAGTGGGAACCAGTTCTGCTCAGCTCTGTTGGGGGTTTTGGACTTGGAACCCACCTGGAAGCCATGAAAGGTGTCATGTCCAGCTCCAGGGGAAACGAGACATACGTAGTGATCTTCCGCCTCAGTTTGGCTGAGTGTTCAAACCGCTGCAGGCAAAGGCAAGAGGTTCTTCTTTAGAGAAAGGTTAAATTTTATCTCTTTTATACATGTCCTAAGCTTAGAAACAGTAACATGAAAGCACATTAGCAGTCACTCTGCAGGGACAGCCCCAGATTTTTCCTACCAGCTCTGTGGAAATGGCCAAGTAAATAACAACACATTTCTAGCAGGAAAATAAACCACCATTTGTGGGCTCAATGTTAACACAGTATTAATTAGATTATTTACCTTGATATCTATGCATACAAACCTATTCCCACCTGACATCAAAGAAAAAAAATATTAAACAAGGAGAGCACAGAGAGCCTTTACCCAAAGCAGTGCTCATTTGCACCAGGGCTATTCAAACCCATGGCTGCTGCCTACCCTGGCTCACAGAACTGGTGATAACAGAGTTTGCCTTCAGATTCACACTCTGAATCCACCCATCCCATCATCTCAAGTGACAGGAGTCAAGCCTACACAGGAATACCCATTCAAATTAAGGCAAAAAATGGAATGTGCTAACAAAAAAAAAGCCCTGTCCCTCTGCCAAAAGGGGCCTGCAATACCCACCACCCTCTCCTCATCTCCTTCACTGAACATTAAATTGGAACAGGAACAAATACCAGAAAGAGATGAATGAGTTTCTATTTAAAGGCAGCTTCCCTCTCCATTTCTCAGAAATTCTTCTCTATTTACACTTCAAGTTAATTATTTTCCAATTGTGATGCTGTAACAATTCCCTAGCAACAGATCCAGATGTGAAAAGCTGAGACTTCTGTAATTCTTATCTTTTGTGTTTCTCTCTTGCGTTAACACACAAAATGAAATTTGCATTTTGCATAGACAGGGACAACACAACACTTAGGAAAAGTAATTTATTTTCCAAAAAATCTTCAGTCATTTGGAGTAACACAAATACTGAACTAAGTATAGGAAAGGAGTGGAGCACATTCATCTTGACTTGCCTCAGAACTTTTCCATGCTTTTCTTTCAATACAGTGGCAATCTTTCAGTGAAAGTGTAAAAACTGTACCATGTAGGATGAGGGGGTGTAACTGGAGATTGCTTTCTGTGCTGGTTCAGGTTTTGGACCAGCCTTCCATTCTGTCTCTAGACTCAAGCTGGTTAAGCTCTCCCAGAAACACTGCAAAGCTACCTCAGAGATAATGTAACACTATCTTAATAGAAAATCTAGCTGGGCAAGGCAAGATGTTCTTTATATTAATTTATATCATAGAAGTTTAGTCAGTGAAAGCCAGAAGACATGTCCAAGAATTCAGCTCATCCTCTCAGAGAGGAAATCACATCCTCTGCTCTGTTGCCCCCCTGTGAACTTACTTTGAGATGAAAACAGGCCACAATGGGTAACTTCTTCATAGTGAGTTGTTTGGTAGATTCTTGGTAGCTATGGCAACCACTACATTTGATTTTGGCACTGCTTCCTAGATGTTCTGGCCTTGTAAACCTAAAAAAAAACATTGAAAAGCAAAGGAATGCACAAAACAATCAGATGGTTTTTGACATGTGCTGGAAACACTTTCACTTGTGGGTCACTGGCACCACAAGAGACAAGAGTCAGTGGGTTTTAAGTCATTTTGGAAAAACCTACCATCAAACCATAATAATGTAAAGTGCCATGGCTCAGATATCCAAATGTGACATGGATCATTGCTCTAACTTGCAGTGGAGTGAATCAGTGGCTGAGAAAGGAGCTCAGTGTCAGTTCATCTCCTACAGCAGAGCAGCTCATTTTCATACAGACAGCAAAGAAAGATCTTTTGTTTTCAAACCCAAAACCATTGATATGGAAGACCCTCTCCTGCAACACACTATTCTACCTTGTAGCCCTCCAGGGCTGGGATCAAAGCTCTGAGATGGAAAGACCTGTAAACACAAAGTTCTTTTCAAAATACAGATACCCTTCTAAAAAACCTTTGTTGACAAAAATCTCTTTCAAAATTTTCAGACAGAACTGCTCAAAAGAGCCAGGGGAAGAAACCATTAGGGAACAGGGAAGTGCTCACAGAAAATGGACTACCTCAATGGTCTCACTTCAAACTAAAGCAAAATCCCTCTTTTCCAGAAACTCAGCACAGAAAGGCCAGGACCACGGACTTTCCTTTCTTAGTCCTTTCCTCCAAGTTTAGATTTTCAAAAGGCAAATCAACCATTTCCCCAAAGGCTGCCTGTAATCTTTGAGATGAAATATTTCAAAACATAGTTAAAAATTTTAATTTTCAATTTCTTCATTACAATGAAGAACATGAGGGCAACATGGTGTCAGTTTGCCCCTCACCCTCACTCTGACTATGGCCAAAGCAGCCTCCAGCAGCAAATGACATCACAGCTTCCTGATTAATTAACAAGATTTCCTTTACCTGGCCTACGCACCATCATTCTCTGGGTTTGTTTTTTTTTCCTTTTTTTTTTTTTTCTTTGTATTTGTTTATCCACTTAAAAGGCTTATAAACTTGCTCTGATAGTTGTTTGGAATGCCCTTATATTTCCATTTTTGTGTCACAATCCTGCTCAATCCTTCCTTCTTCAGGTCAACTTCAGCTGCATGAACATGAAGTTACACACCTTTTTTCTTGTTAACTTTTGGATAAAAACATAGACCCATCTTCTTTATCCATTAGACTTCAACTTCTTTCCAAAATCCATACTTTCTGGAAGTATCTTTGAACCTGGATGTCTTTCCTTCCCTATCATCAACACTGATTCTGCTAATCTCTGTGTTGAAGAAAATCACCAAAATTCAATTGGTTTTGCCTCTTGATGTATTCCTGCATCAGCAATTTTCCATGTGTACTAATTCCCTCATTTCCTTAAAATTACTGATCTTTATAGTGTCAAGCAGATTAGAAATCAGATGTTAGAGACTATGAATTTTTATTTCAGAAAGATTAGCTTTGCCCCAGGCTCCAGGTAACCTCTTCCTCAGGCAAATATCTGCATTTGCCACAGGAGAATGACTTTCAGATCTGCTGAAAGAGCCAAGTGAACTGTACACAAAGCCATAACCTTCTCCCCAGGTATCTCCTTCCAAGATGCCTAAGTGTCAGCCTCAGAATTACCTTTTCTTTTTGAAAGCTCCATTCCTTTAATCCTTAATGGCATCCCTGCAACTAAGCTGGGAGTAGCTGACTCTCAGTTGTGCTTAGAGCAAAATCTGATTCCTATTTGGTGTTAGAATTTAGATAAATATAAAATGCAATGTAATTTCTTTTCATGTGCCTCCTCAGTCACCAGAACCAAGAACAAGGAGACAGACTTTAGTGATTTTGATCATGTAGAACCACATTGTCTGGCAGCAGCTAAAATTTGTTTTCTTCTTACATAATGTGGCTTTGAGTTCTTATTGTTGCTCTGAGCCTTCTTACTTTCTCACATGCAAACAACAAAAATACGTGGTGTAAAAATGCTGCTTGGGGACGGAGCTGTGACAAAGCCCCACTTAGTCCTAGTGTTCAGAGCCACCTGGAGAACAGGATGAAGCCAAATTCATTCCCTTTCTCCAAGCTGTGTCTGTGGCAGGCCGTACCTTCTCAAGCAGTCTGTGAGGGTGGTGGTGCCCGACACGTGGCTTTCCCCGTTGACCACGCTGCCATCGCTGCCCGGACTCAGCGGCCAGAAGGGGGTGGAGGAGCCTGGCAGATCCAAACTGATGTCCCAGAACGGGTCTATCGTCGTGGAAACGCCACTGTGGGAGACAGAATGGGTCCAGACATCTTTAAAGGAAGCCAAATGAACAGTTTCTCCCTCGCTTTGGGGTGCACTCCAGGTGCTGCATTTTAAGGACTTTGGGATCTCCGTCACCCCTAGAGGGCACTCAGAGATGACAGAAAATAGAGCTGCTCCTGAGTGTTTGCCCACAACTGATGTTTCCCTGCATATTTAAAAGCTGTATGTTTGGGGAAATGTAAGTGATGTATGAAATGCAAAATAAAAGTGTTTAAGACATTCTCCTGCTCACTGAAGCCCTGAGACTCAAAGCAGAGCTGCTCTGAGACAGAGGCACCACTGACCAGGATAAACCAGTTAACATCTGTGACAACAGCTACGTGCCATCCAACTAATTTACAAACTGGTCTTGTCTGCTCAAGACATGGAAGATGGTGCTTGAGGCTACCTCAAAAAAGAGAAGGCTTTGAAAATACTCTTGCTGTCCAGCAGTGCACTGAATTCAGCTTTGCAGTTCCTCTCAGCATCTCCTACAGCCTTTGGGATTTGAGAGGCCAAAGAGCAACTGCATCAAGCAGTAGCTCATGTTCTCCATCAGAGCTCTCTAAAGACAGCTGAAGACAAGCCAACAGCCAGACTGTGAAAAAAGCTGCTCCAAATTTTAACTGCTATTGACTCAAATCTTCTCTTCTAGCATCCACATTTTTAAGATAACTTCAGGGGTCTAAGCTCCTTGTTATTTTTTGAGTTCTCTCTTCCCCTAAAACCAGTGTCTTTCACTCTGCAATCTCATTAAGCCTTCAATATTCTGCCTTTTCCCTCTGCTTCATTTGTGCAAAAGTTGTCAATTTTCAAAAGAAAACTTCTTTTGTCAAAGTTTCATCAATGTTAATATTGTGTCATAACAAATCAAGCTTTGCATTATCACATAAGGATTCTGTGTCTCTACCAGGCAAAGAACAAAATTTCCTATGTTTTCCTTCGAGTAAATCTTTTGCAAATCCCTCCAGCAAACTGAGAATAAAAGCAGATTCAAACAAGCCCAGCCCATGAGCAGGACAGCAAGAATGCAAGGCAGAACAAAAAACAAGAACTCTGACTTCTGCACTATGGCAACATCAAATATCTCCAAAGAGAAGTCAACTTGTTCCAGTACAAAGGAGGACAATAAATACATTTTTCCATACTCTTGTAAAGGCTTTTTTTCTGGCACCTGAGATTACATTAGGCATCAGCCTCTATGAAACCTCTCCTGATGATACATGAAGCTCCTGACTGAAGGAAAATGTGGTTGTGTATCAGAATTTTCTTCAAATGTAGTTGCAATTATGTATTTTGAAATTTAAAGAGATCTTGGAAGTATTTTCTTTATGAACATGGAAAACAACCACCTTTTCCAGACTAGTAAAAGGCTTGTGTGCATGAACCTGTAGTACTTCCCAGGCAGCTTTTTAGGTATGTCTTAATACATGACAGTTAACTGGTAACTGATTGCATTTAGCTGACAGAATTATAGAATTAGTGAATCCCAGGATGGTTTGGTTGGAAGAGACCTTAAACATGATCTCATTCCAGCCCTTGCCATGGGCAGGGACACCTTGCACTAGACCAGGCTTCTCAGAGCTCCATCCAGCCTTGCACTGAACACTGGATGGGGCAGCCACAGCTTCTCTGGGAAATCTGTGCTGGTGCCTCAGGGTGCTGCACTTACACAGTTCTTGTCTTTCTGGAGTTTTGCCAGTATTTATTGGTGTTCAAGAGAGGAAAGGTTCAGTGCACTGCACTGGAGGAGTGCAGGTTTGAATCAGAGCCCAGGATCAGGAAAAGTGACTTACTGGCAGACTTGACAGGTAACATCCGACTGCAGTCCGCCTGTGAAGATTTGGTCTATGATGCAGTTACAGTGGTTGGGGTTGTTGGCCTTCTTCCCATTATCATCACCTGCAGGAATGCAAACACAGGCTCAGAAGTCAAAAATCCTCTGAGGGAACAGTGGTTTGTCTTGGACTGTGTCTCCAGTAACTCTTTCTAACTCAAACTTATAGTGCAAATTCACAAGGATAATACAGAACCCTGCAGAAGTTGTGCATTGAAGAAAAGAAGGAAACAAGATTGGAATTCCTTGAAAAATACAGAAGATAACCAAAAGGTGACTAAATGTGGAGGTGAAGCTTTAAGCCATAGCAGTTCTTAGCTAAACCCTTGCTCAGGGCATCTCCCTTTAAGAGGTTTGCTTGCACTGCCTGGCATAAAAATCAGCTCCTAAAACAAAAGAGTTGCCAAGGTGGTTCATGAAAATCAATATTTAAATTTCACAGCAGCAAATGCTACTTTTTTACTTCTATCCCAGTCAGCTTCTGTGAGTAGAATGAGGGGAGAGAGTTTTTTAAGAGCCATTCACCACCAGCCCACTGCCTCCATCAATGTGCACCTTCCATGCAGGTTTTCATCAGTGGGAAAATGAAAGATGTGCTTATCTGAAGTGAGGAGGTAATGCTGTGTCCTCCTCCAGCTTCTCCAGAGGCACAGTAAACACATTCCCATCCTTCAGGCATCACACACTGTCACTGCAGGTCCCCATTTTTGGGACTTGAATGCTGAGATTTGGCCAATTCAACTTTCTCACAATAACCAGAGTATTAAATAACCAGAGTATTAAACACTTCTGCACACAGTTCTCAGCTTCAAAGCCTTCTCCCTCCATTCCCCAAGGTGAAGTAGGAATGACACACTTTTCCTTGGATTTCCACACTGCCCATTGCTTATTTTCCTTGGGAAGGATAGATGCAACTGGGCTTGCTTTGCAATCAGAGATGCACACACCAACTACTACACAGCACCAGCTAATTATTTTTTAAAATACATCTCAAGATGTTTTTCCATCTCCTTCAACAGCAACTGCTACAACAGAACTAAGTTTGGACAGGTTTCCCAGTGTACTTAACTTTCTGGGAAGTATTTTAATTTCTGAAACTGAAATGCTAAGATTGAAATACTGAAATACTCCTCAAATCTCTGCTACTTCTTCTCAAAACCAATTATTTTCTACTCAAGAATATCCAAAAAAACCCACCTGAAGAAATGAAAAGTTTCTAAAAGCAAGACCATTTTCATGTGCCTAAGGTGCTCTAGCTGGAGCTTTCTTGTAGTAGGAACAGATAGAATTGTATTTTTTTTCCAATGAAGCTTTAGAATTATGCTGAAAAGCATTATATAATAATCTGGCAAAGTTTTCACTGGATACTAAGTGTGGAAAAGCAGTCATAGGTGATACCTACTAAGCTGCAATGGGCCACTTGAGTTAATTAGATTGTAAATGCCTCAGGAAAGTTCTCCCTCAGCTGCCAGATTTAGGCTTTAGAAACTTTTGTTTGAATTGCCAAGAAAAGCACATTGTTTCCTTAAAAAGACTCTTGAAGAAAATGCTCTAAAATTAGATTTCAAGTGTATGAGGTTCAAGTTGGGGGTTATCACACCCAGTCTGAGGTGTTTCTTGATGGGAATTTCAGCTAAATCTCACTGAACTTAAGAGCTTTTAAAGGGCTCAATTATGCTAAGCTAATGAAGAGGGCATACAGGATAGAGAGTGTGCAAGGCATCCTTCACCCACAGAAAAAGCTTCACTTTTATTCACAAGCATTAAAGAAAAAAAATCAAAATAGAATTAACTGGGTTTTAGTTAAAACTCCGCTTTTCCTTTTTAAAGAACTACCACATCCTCGTAACCTCCCCATTTCAAACATTGCCTCTGCTTTGTTTTGAGGGGGCAGAAGGAGAAAAGCAGTGCTGAGAGCTTTTCCCTGGATCCCAGGTACCATCCCAGCTGGACACCTTGTGCAGACAGTCATTTCCTCCCACAGAGAGAACTGAGCTCTCCCTTTTCAATTACACAAGTCAATTAGGATCAGCGATGAGAGGGTCTCAAATGAATATCCTGCAAGCTTGTTCCCAGCAAAACAGAAGGGTATTACCCACTCAACATTATTTCCCATGACATTTGGTTGGAGAGGAGGGAAAAAGGAGTAAGATTACCACCTACACACACTTGTCAATATGGAACAGATGCTGAGGGGAGGTGTATTATGCAGCTGAGAACTAGAAGCTGCTAGATTGTTGTGCTCAAGTGAAGGTTCCCTTCAACATTTCTGTCTCCCAAATGAGGTTTTAATTTCAGGTATTTTTTGGGGTTTAAATCAGGTCCAGGGAAATCAGCAGCTTCTAAGAATGGTCAGCACAAGAATAAAAGCAAACTTAAAAATACATCAATGTACACATTAATGTGATTATAAGAATGGCTGAAAACTGAGTTCAGGAGTCTGCACTCAAATGAAATGCAACTCTCAAAAACCTCCACACAGGTTACTACTGTATCTGTGAAATAACTAAGCATGTCAATCTATTTCAAAATAGGCATTTAATATACCACTAAAGGTAAATAATACACAGCAACAGTAAAAACAGCTTAAAAAATACACAACTTTTAAGACTGCTTTTGATTTTGATACAAAAATACAAGTTTTGCCTCAATCTTTCATTCTGTATTTTAAATAAGAAAAGGGAAGTCAAGAATTGTGAGATTTTAAAAGGGATATTTATCAAAACAAGACATTAATGTTAATATTTCTGCTTTGCTTTGGTCCCTGGTGTTCTGAACAAGTGCTTGTTATTTCTGACAAAGCAGTGTACACACAAATCTATATGGATCAGAGCAGATGACATGTTTCACAAGCATATGCTCTATCAATTCCTAAGAATATCACACAGAATTCACAGAGCAGGGCAGTGTTTTCCTCCCAAATCTCAGTACACCATTCTTTTTCTGGCTTCAGATTTGTTTTGCAGCACTCCTTGTTAAAGGTGAATGCAAAATGCTTCAAGAAATCCAAATAAATGAGGAATAATCAGCTTTAAAGTACTACTCTCTCTTTTTTTAAAACTACTGAATAAAGCTTGGGATAAAAACACAGGATCACTTCTATTTTTTTATCTTGCTTTTTGAAACTTTGTGTACCAGTGCCCATCTCTGCAACAAGCAGAGAAACCCCCACAGCCAGAGATGCCACTGCACAGAACAGTAATTTTTGACTTGTAGTCTTGATCCTTTTAAGAGAAGAGTAATTCTGGTCTAAGTTTCTCCAAACTTGAAGATGTCTGAGACAAAGGTGGGAAACTAAAAAGTGTCTGCATGATTGGAAGCTCACTGGATGGAAGTTTGCAGAATCAGAACCCCGAATTTATCCCAGAGCACTGGGGATAAAGATGCACCTGTCATGGTGACAAAAAGCTGACTTAATGCTTTACAGCCTGGGCACAAATACAGATTATTTACACTATTTCTTCTACCAAAATACTACTTTCCAGTTAGATCACCTGCCTCCCTCCAGCTGCTGAATGAAGAAGTGATGCACAGGCAAGACACACTCGACGCCTTTTATTCAGAAATATTTTCTGTTACTCCAGCAGCACAGAGGAGCCTACTGAGGGTTTAGAATATGCCCTGCCCAGATGCCACAGCTGAACCCAACAGTGGCAGCACATCTGTCACCCCTCAGACAGGACTGACATGGACATCAGACAGGTATCCTGGCCTTCCAAAACTCCACAGATGCCACGAAAGCAAAGTATAGATTCAACCAGCATTTAAAACACCAACCAAATCCAAACAAAATTGCCTGGGCCAGCCTGCCTACATAATCATCTCAGGGCAGCTGTAGGATTACAAAATTTATCTTTACATGGACATCAAAATCATGTATTTTTCTTAATTTAGGCAGTGACAAATCAACAACAAATATTCACAGCTTTGTCTTCACTTGCATTAGGACACTTCCTAGACAGCTGAGTACACAGAATGGAAAAGGGATAAATGACTAATGGCAGCCAAACAAACATCTCTGGATATTTATACAGAAGGAACACTTTCATTTACTTTGGTGCCTGAAGCCTTGGTGATCATGAATAATGTCCAAAAACTAGAGCAGAATTTCCCCCATGACTTTATTTTATTTCACTGTGTGTTAATTGTAAAACTTCATTACTATTGACTGGAAGCTTTAAAAGCTTTTTTCGTTCATTAAAATAAATATTTAATATTGGCAGGGGAGGTATTATTTGCTTACTGTAGCTGTAGGACATATTCTCACTATTAGTAATAATATTTTTACATCTGCACACTTCACATGCAAGTGTGTCTTTGTGGATACACAAGTGGGAAAACTTTCTCATTATACTGAAAACTAGTTCATTCCAAATGTGGTTTTGCATGACTATACTTGAAATTCTGCTTTAGATTAACTTGTTTGGTTCCCACACAACTGCTCAACCACCTCTTTTAAATTACCTTGATGTGGTATAGATTATTTACTATGATTTAATAAAAGCCTCTCTATTTCTTCAAAAACAGAAATTTGAAAACCTGGCAGCAGAGATGTCAAGATTCTTCATTTAAAGTCAAACCACTTTTTTTTCTTAAGTCTTTTCAGATTCTTTATCAGTTTGAGAAGAGCTCAAGGACCTTCACTGTTCCAAGTTTTTCTCTTTACAATTCTGAGACACAAATACTGCTTCATTAATTAATGAGGATGTGTAGAAGAAATATAAGCATTATCTTATATCAGAGATGTCAAGATTCTTCATTTAAAGTCAAACCACTTTTTTTTTCTTAAGTATTTTCAGATTCTTTATCAGTTTGAGAGGAGCTCAAGGACCTTCACTGTTGCAAGTTTTTCTCTTTACAATTCTGAGACACAAATACTGCTTCATTAATTAATGAGGATGTGTAGAAGAAATATAAGCATTATCTTATATCAGAGATGATGAAAAAAACTTCAAGATTTGTTAGATCAATGGTTCAGAAATTTAACATGAACAAAGAAGTGCTTCTGTTTGCAGCTGAATTTATTCAGTGTTAAGAAGTCAATTTGGGTAGATTTTGTTCCCTACTGGACTTCCACACCAGATTAATTTGGATTATTGAAATCCAGTTAGTGGTTGTCCAATGACAGACATTAATAACTACAAAGGAACTTCTCTTGTGTACTCCTGTCCTTAGCAATACTTTTTTTGGAGAAGATTCTTTTGGAGGCAACAATTATGGATGTGAACAAGTCCATCTGCTGCCATGCAGGGCTACCTCAGAGATAAAAGATTCACAATGGTTCAGAGAAGCAGTGGCAGCCTTCCCTTTGATAGTCCTCTGATAAGCCAAAAAACTAAACCTAAGTGCTTTTCCTAAGAGCATTTGAGCAAAGTTGAGTGCTTAAATCTTCTTTTTGATAACCAAGGACTTTTTGTTTGTTCTGTTAGTATCAGCTCTTCTACTTTTCCCTTGGAGTAATAGCAAAAATTGCCCTGCTGCACCAAGTGAATCAAGCTAGAGCAAACATTGGCAAGACTGGGAAATTTTCAGTTCAGCTTGAGTTCAGCTAACAAACAGAAAATACATAATTTTATTTGATATTACAAAATCAAGACTTAGGTACTTCATATCAAAAAGCATTACACTGAACATTTTTCTTGTATTGTACAATTATGTATTGTTCTATACAGACTAAAACAAGGTACCACAGCCACCCATTGCTCTTTCTTACGCACATTTCTGTAAGCAATTTGGTACCAGAAATACAGTAGAATCACATTTAAGCAGAATAATAGTATTAAGTATTAAGACACAACCTCTCCCCTATCTTATTTTCATCAGTCCCACGACACACTGAGTAAGAGTTCTAACTACTGAAAGTATAAATAGAAGTAAAGAGGCAATTTAAAAGAAAAGACAGTGACTCACAACCAATAAGAGACCATCATGATGGTGATTCAAACCAATGCACAGGCTCATCTGCTTCTAACTCTTGGTTAGAACTTTTTGACAGTGGGAATGGTTTATTTATTTCTACATCTTTTAAGTCTACTGAACATTTTTAAAGGAATTTGCTAAGAGTGCTGCACTGGCACTAGACTTAAAATGAGATGGTTCTACCTCCTTTGGATGCAATAATCCTTGTTGACTGGAGCCTGAGGACAAGCCTTACCTTTGCAGTGTCTGTGTAGCACATCTAATGCAGCAATGAGGAACTCGTGTGCATCTTGTTGCTCGTACCCTGCTAAATGCCGTGCGTGAGTCCATACCAGGTGCAATAACCTATATGGAATGTGAGGAGATCGGTGCCCAGAGTAAAACTGCTCAAAGCAAAGAGAAGGACATGATTGTTAACAGCTTACACAGCCTCAGTGCATTGCATTATTAAAAAGTCAAATGAGCGCAATTAGTCAAATCAATTGAAACCGTTTAATTCTGATGGCCTTAATAATAAAGGAGAGAGACAGCTTTTGCCACATGCTGCTGGAGAAGTGGTCTCAGAACTGAGCAGCTCAGTTTTCTCCCCTGAAATTCCATCAGTTTGTGATGGATTAGCCTAAAAAATGTGGGGGTGCAGGGAGTGGGGTGGGCAGACACAAACATCACTCACAATTTGCTTACTGATACCACTGGCTTTTATTAAAATAGCCTGGGGAGGAAAGAAAGGAAAAAAAAATCCTGCATTTGAAAAGGATCACCAATTTCATTCACAAATTATATGAATGAGATGCCCCATCCCATATCAGAACAAACACTGAATATGAGAATATTAGATGCTGACTGTCAGCCAATCCCTGACCCATGACAACTCTGCATCCAAATGCTGTGCACTCCAATTTTATGGAAAAATTTCTAAGCAGGGCAGCAGCCTCATGCCAGTACTGGCCTTTCACTGTAAAAGGCTTCAAAAACAACTTTATTGAGCCAGCTGTTTGCAGAGCTGAAGGTCCCCATTCAGTCAGTGATCCCCAAAGCCAGCTGCCAGCCCCGCTCCAGCAGGGTGTCCCCTGCCTGGGAATCTGGTGCTGGACCAGCTCCTGCATCTGCTCCTTCATCTGCTCCAGTCAAAATCTGATGAGCTGGCTCCAAAGTGACTAAAACTGCCCCAGGTGATTCTGCCAGAAGCACATTAGAGAGTGCATAGATGAATTATTCAGTCAGCACAGCCCTATGTGAAACACTGCTGCTGCTGCTGCTGGGGGTGACACAGCTGGGGAGGGAAATCAGCACAGGGCAGGAGGACACTGCCCACAGAAACTTTTTAAATTAAAAAAGTCAGGTCCCAAATGAAAAAACCCAAACAAACAAAACAAAACAAACCCCAACCAACCCACCCCAAAAAAACATGCCAAAAAACCACCCATGCTAAGGGTCTGTGTTTCCCTCAGGGGTTGAGGTTCAGCCCTTCCTTTATCCCTGCACAGTGATACCAGTTCCAAAAGCAAAGCAGGGATTCTCGTGGTGTCCCTACAGGAGTCAGAAAAGGCCCAGAAGAGTTTATTCACTTGACAGAGTAACATTTTATTTTTCATAAGTGAACATTTGTGAGTCATTTTGCCTTCCCTCACCTTCAGCAAAGGTATCTGCCAGTAAATGCTGCCTGCAACACCACAATTATGTTTTCCCAAGATCCTATCAAATCCATGGTGGTTTCTTTTCAGTTATTCTTCCCAAACAGAAGACAGTAAGTGGCAAATACACAGAACAAAAAACAAGATTTAAATCCCCAGCAGTATATAATTCTCATCCTTATTGGAAAAGTGAGCTTCCTTCCCCAGCCCTGAGTTTCTCCCTGCACAGTCTCTGAGCATTTTATGTGAATCCAAACACAGGCACTGTGCTACAAACCTGAGAGAAAACACTGTATTTTAAGGGACAGGTTGGCAAAAAGCAGCACAATCTTTATCTAATTCTCATATTGGTAGGGTTTCCTACACCATTTTAGTGTATTTCCTCCCACAGAAATTTCTTCCTCCCAAGATCTGCTTTTCCCAAACAAGAAGCTGCACCTCTGCAGCCAAACACCACAAAATGCTCCTATAAATACAAAGATCAATAGTTAACTCTGATGCCAACAAGGATGACACTGAGGGACTGGAGCAGGAGTGTGGTAATTGAAATCTGCTGATGCAGCTGCTGCTCAACATAATTCAGGGAACTGCAGCAATAAAACTTCCCTGTTCTGTCACTCCTTACAATTAGTCCCAGAGCTCTCCGGTCATTTTAACCACCAGCACTCCATGTAATTACTCCACTGCAGACACAAGACCTGCCAGCAGATTTTACATTCTCTGCTGCCTCAGTAGGATGAGAAGGATCTGACTTGAAGCTATTTCAAATTATTTACTATTATCAAACAAAAAAATAGAAACCTGTCTGGTAAGAATGTGGGGTCGGGGAAAAGCTCCACTGCTCAAATAAATATTAAATAAAACAAAGAATCTGAGCACATTCAATAACAATATTTTAACTGGAATGTATAAAACATCCATCCCATCTCTGTCATTTCCTTGCTGCTGGGAAAAGCAGCCTATCAGAGCTGTTCCAGTCCACAAAAAGGAAAAGAGTCCATGTAAAGTTTTATTCCAACCTTTTCACTGAAGTGTGCAAATATAAACAATGATGTATTGCAAGTCACCTTTAAAATACCACTGTTAAACAACTGTTAAACAACTGTTCCAAACATAATTTAAACTTTTTTTTTGTTTAAATTTGTTTTCAATTCAGCAGTATCAGCTGTTTATACTGGAGAGAACTAGTTTGAACAATTTCAAAGTGCTGGGTAATACACTGCTTAATTGCTATTCCAGGAAAAAAAAAGGGAGGGGGGGAGAAAGGAACAAACCAACCAGGATTCAAAGCCTCCATTCTTACACACAGCCCAAGTAAAAGTAATTTTGTTTTTCCATTTGAAACACTTACTGTTGCATTCTAGAAAGAATCTATAGAGGATTTATAAGACTACAGGCTTTGTAATTTGCATTTCTGTTAGCAAAAATATACAGGCAACAACGAGGTCTTAAAACAAAATAAGACCCCATGGTACACATCTGTACTTCTTTCTCCTCCTCCTGCCAAAAACATGCACAGAAGTTTCTCAATTATAACAGATAAATTTGATTTATCCTGCACATGTATCCGCTGAACAGTCTCTGAGCTTTGTAATTACAAGTTTATAGGCAGAAATCCTGCACCAGGTTCAAATTCAACTTGAGGATTCAAAAACTCCTCTTGGTAATTGGTTCTCAGCAAAGACTTAAAATTTTCTGGCAATTTACAATGGGTGAAAAGGCTGGACAAAACATGGAGCACATGCAAGAGAACACCTTCTGGAGGCTTCCCAAAGAACAAGGGTTCAAAGAATCACAAAACACATTCTGCTTGCATGAACTCTCTTCTTCACTTCTTTCAGGGAAAAGTACCAAATTTTACTAAACCAGCACCAACTCTACTTTCCATGACAAAATTCAAGCTTCTGTCTATGTAAAGAGCCTTAACTACATTTTTCTCCCCTCTAGTACCATTATTGTAACTTATTTTATACATAAGTCATTTCAACAGTAGCATCTTCAGATATCAAAGCCATAAATCATCTCCTCCTTTTCCTTCTTGGTCCTCACTTCTCAACTCCTCCCATGCTTTTGCTGTGTGCTGTGCTAGGCTCACAGGGATGAGTAATGATGGGAAAAATGAAGGTTTTGTTCCTTCCATCCCTGAGTGGATGCACTGCATTCTGCTCTACTCCCATTCCTACTATTCCAGTCACAGAGCACATGAGACACAGATCTTCTAGTCCTACCTCCCTGTGTGGTCATTCTGGAAAGGATTTAGATAAACCTCAGGGTGTGGACCATCTTGAAATTAATTTTCATTAGTGAAGCAAAACTACAACATAAACACCAGTAGGCAAAAAGGAGGGCACCAATTCTTTCAGCCAAAAGGCTCAATGAATGGATTGTGTGTTCTATCTTCACCCTGTCCAGCTCACCACTATCTGTTACTCCCAAATCCTTTTCATTCCTTTTCTTATGCAGTGTAAGTCATGTCATGATTCTATTGAGAAATGGGTTTCACGTAGCACAAAGGAGAATGTTAATTGATGCAGTCAGATATTTTTAAAACAAACAGATCTCAATGCTTGGTTTGTCTGCCAGAAAAGCTACCAGGAAAAAACCACCTCAGTACTGAGAACCATCTGACAGGCATTACTCACCACCAACCTACTTCAAGGTGGAAGAACTTTGTAGCTTCCTATTTATCACAGAGAAACAACTCAACCTATGTAACTACATGATCTTAAATGAAAAAGAAATAAAGTGGGATGGGTAACTTCTGTTTAAGAGGCAAAAGAGCAAAACTGGCTTATTTATATATAGTAAGTTTTATTTAATGTTCAAAACAGTCTCTCTTTTCCTCCTGGAGAGCTCCCACTCAGGCACTCACCAGATCCCCTGGCATTCCATTTGCCTAAGATCACACCTTCAGAAAAGAAGGGTGGAGGGGAGATGAAATTAACCCTTGCCCTGATTGTTTGTCCTTGGGTAAAATGCTTTGGGATAACCACACCAGCTAATCCTGGTGGGAAAGCTATGTAGAAACAAGACAGAACCTGAATCAAAGTTTCCCTGGTAATTCAATTACAAAGGAATTCTCAACCATAGCACTGAGATCTCCTGGTTTGCCTTGCTTTGCTCAGACCTCAGCTCTGCAAAGGCAGTGACAGAATCTTCATTACAACCACTGCAGAGAGCTGGGACATGAAACATAATCAGTGTGCTCCAAAAATGGCAAGATTTTGTTTTAACTCTGAATACAAAGAAATTAAAACTCACTGGGAACAGAACTGTACAATGGGTGCTGACAAAGCCACAAGCACAACAAGGTATTTACTGCTTGTGAGTTAAAATATACCAAGTTGGTTACAGACCCAACAGCTTTGCTTAGGAGGATTAAGCTCCAGTTTTACTTCAAGGAGGTTGAGTCACTTTCTGTGTCCTCCTACAGCACATGGCTGCAGTATTTAATGTGAAATAAGGACAGGGACTATTGCTGTCTGCACAGTCTGGTGTCACAGATATGGCTGTTCCCTCACCTATACACCCTCATGTTGCAGAACATTTAATTAATAGAACTAATAAAAGTGTAGGCATGAATTTTTATTTGAAAATGAAGGCTGAGCTTCCCAAATTTGTGTATAAAATTAAACTTGATTACAATTGAAACTAACACAGGAACACAAATGCTGCATTTAAGCCCCATTTTGGATAACAGCCTGTTCTTTGTTCCATGCTCATAGTAGAGCAAAAGGCATCCTGAGCCATCAACAGGGCTCCACACACAAAAATGGAAACAAAAATCATTACCTAGAGAGTCTTGATCTTTCCTGCAGCCTCTCAATCTGTAATGTAACATTCATTTCCCCTTTCCCAAGGGATTTTTTTAAAAATGCATGTGTAAATAGAGTGTGGTGATGTTCAGCAGTGTGAGACTTTATATCACTATTTGATGAAAGGATATAAAGAATATAATAGTTCCTTATTTTTAAATAAGCAAATAGGTTTCTCTATTAACAGTGTACAGAAACTGGTATTTCTATACCATGACTGATTTTTTTATCTAGGCATTGTGGTATTTCCCCACTTAACTGCACATCTGGTTTCAATAATCCTACAGCTGCTACCTATTGGTCTGCCTGCCTTTTGTTTTCACCCCCTTTCCTGACAGACTCAGAACAACTGAAAAATAGAACAAAAAATAAGAAATGTAACATACAGCTAATGATTGATAAGCAAAATGAAATGTTGCAAATCCTCAGAAATCTTGAGTATAAGCAGGAAACAACTTTGTACTGGAACAACTAAGGGGGCTTTACCTTCCTCTATATGTGTTTAACTCACCTGCAGTGACCAAAAATAATAATCTCTGGTGAAAAAGGCACCAGAGTAAAATAAAATTGAAAATCACAAGATAAAGGTAAAGCTATTTTAGGTTGGTCCCTGTCAGAATGAACTTCCCTGACAGCACATCCACAGAAAACCTGCTCTATGTACAGACATCTCCAGCAATTTTAAATGCTCCACATCAGCACGTACACTACAGCTCTTTCTGGTTTTTTGGTTGGTTTTATTTTACTTACCAAGAAAGCAGATTTACCACTGAGGAAAAGGCACAAAACTGGGTTTGTTTTGAAAAACATCTTAAAACTAGGAGCCCATGTCCACCCACAGTCCTTACAACACTTGTGTGGAATTAAGACAGATAATAAAGTTCTTGGACTATTTATTAAGGAAAAGCCTGTGCTCGTCTCACAGCATGAACCAGACCTACAGAAAAGACACACTGCAAAGCCAGGCTCCCGAGTGTGAGTGGGAAAGAAGTGCAGCTTGTACAGGGAAGACACAAACTGTAGCAACACATTCACTTCTCTTTATCCTCCTTCCTGGCCCTTCCTGGGTTTGCACATAAGAGATGACAGAAAAGATGTTTCTGCTGGTGAACAAGCACTAAATTGAGATCTTTAAAATATTCATACAGACCTACATAATCCAGTACCTTAAACCACAAGGATGTATACTACTGCTTTAGTCTCACTCCCATTATCACCCAAAGAGCTCGTGACATATTTTCCAGTTACAACTTGCACCTTTAATTAAGGCACACATTCAGCTTAAAGACTAAGGATTCCCAGATCAGTCTCAGAAGAACAGGCAGCACTGTAATTATTTCCAAGACCAGCTTTGCCTAAACAAGGGTGACTTCACAATAGGACTTAAAAGCCATTAGTTTCCCTTTCAGCAGCTGGGTATTTTTGACAGCGAGGTCTCAGTCTTTACTGCTTTGTTTTACTATATTTTGAGGGGAAACATGACTTGCATTCCCTTTATATTTGCAAATAGAACACAATTCCTTTTGGGTTAAGAAACAGCATCTGTGGCAAGGTGATGCTTTGTGGCAAACAGCACTCACCTCCTGAAAGAGCGTAGACATTTCACAGACCAGACATGAGCTGGGGCTTTGCATTTCACATTTGTGCCTGTCGGAGAGGAAGAAATCTCGCAGCAGTGGAGTGTGGGTAAGTGCCTGGACAATACAGTTCATAAAACATGTGTTCCCAAGATTGATTAGCCCTCGTAGACCTATAAAGACAGAAAGGGGGAGGGGATGCATAAGCATTATCGAGTTAAAAAACCGGTAGATTTGCATTTTGATATAGTTTTCACAATATTGCCATGGATTTACTGTATTACATGCACAGCTCCAAACAGAGTTTTATACTGGCTTAGGGAGGCTATTGGTATTTTTGTACTCAAGTCACAAGAAGCTGCAGAAGCTTTCTGAACTACACTAGGATTTCTTAAATTCTAAGAAATAAGGAAACGTAAAAGTTCAGCAACGCCACTACCATTATTTTGCAATGGCTGTTGTGCCACATGTCACCAAAACAGTCCCTCCCCAAGATTGATACCAAGGTGCAATGACAGCAACTGCTAAGTCAGTACAGTAAGAAACCAATACATTTAAAGAAATCGGTGAGTAAGTTTTCAGATTGTTTTAAAAGCTTTCCCCCATGCAGGCCATGAAGCCAGAACAAGGTTTTTATACTGTTCTAATCATCATCTTTCTAAGACAGGCAGCAAAGGAAACAGCCCTGACAAACCAAGTCAGGCTGTGACATCCAATGCAAACTTCAGAGATTTTAAACCCAAGATCTGAACAGAACAGCTTTAAAAAAAAGAAACTCTGAACAACACTAATTCCACACTCATTTTAGGTAAATTAAACATTAATCTACAGCATACATCAAAAAATTCAACTTTGCATAAGAGGATTCATCACACCTTAAGTCAAACGTTCAGTAATGCCCAGAGACGATTCCTTGTGCTTGGAAACCAAGATGCTTAAAGGAAAGCTCTTTTGTTGCACAACAGAAGAGAGGTTAGGAGTGGGGAAAGCTTTTCAGTCATTTGCAAGGTCTAAGTGAGAAGAAAAACATGCTCAAATCCTTGAGTATTCTTCCAAAATATTAACATTATACCACCATACAGGAGCACTAAACAAGAAGAGCATCAGGTGGCCATGAATGCTTATTTTTAATCAACAACTTACTTTGAAACGAGACAAAATGCACCGATAGATACAACTCTGGTATTGATTTAAAATCAACATAGTCCTCTTCTGCAATAAAAATAGGATTACTACAGAAACATTGAAAGAAAACACAACAGGATTACTAGTCACAGAACGAGGAATTTCCTTGTCTTCCGTGGGATGTAAAAACCTCTCAGCTGGCAGAGCTGTGGTAATTAGAAGTGATGCAGTTCCCGTGCAGTACAGCAGATAGTGCTCCAAGGGCTCTTTAGCATCCTGCAGCAGGAGGGGGTGTGGTCCAGTTGCTATGTTACCACTGAGAAAAGGCACCACAGCAGCTTGAACTGCACCCAGAGCTGAAGGCACAGAGACAGAGCACTCCCGAATCTTTTTTCCTGTATCTAAAGCAACATCGACCTGCTTCCAACAGCTTCCTGTTCCTTCTGTTTACTCACAGGACAAAGTTTCTCATTATATTACAGTGACTTCTACTGGGCAGAAGCTTGTTGCAATTATTTGCTTGATTTTCATGCTGGGAGGCAATAAGCGTGTGCACAACATTAGCAGAGTGTTAAATAGTTAATTTGTTGGAGCAGCTTGAAATACTGTGTGATGCTTCAGCTTGGTCCACAATCCTATTTCAATTCCCAGTCTGTGTCTCTGCAAACAATGACACAACAGGAGGGGGTTCGTGCTGTGCAAGTGGAGAAACATTTTGGTACCTCTTGCTTACCTCTCCCCTTGTTTTCTGCCATTTAAAATTGACTGGATTTATTTAAATCACAGGCTGTGCTCACAGGAGGCTGGAAGGCTCCCTGACATGCATTTTGAGAAGCAGAAGATTCTCTCCCTATTTCTCCCTCTGGTTAGCACCAGATTTCAAAGCCAGCCTGTTCAGCACAGAAAACTGGAGGAAAACCAGTAGTAAATCTAGAGATTCCCCCTAGCATTTTTTGGTGTCTAATAGAGCAGTCACAAAAGCAAACACATAAAGGCAGCTTTTTGGAACCATTTATTAAGCATCATTTATTACATGCCTGTGGCTGGACTGTCTTTCCCTGTGACCACAAGAATCAAATCTTCTTTAAAGTTGCCACCAGGAGACAGTTACAGGCATCAAACTCAGAATGCTCTTGGTTTACTCTGCTTGCTTGGTCTTTGCTGTCAGTTTTTCATGGATCTAAATGGAGCAATTCATGTGCTGGGACTTCACTTGAAGGAACCAAGACAAAGAAACCTGCAAAACAGACAAGGCTGAAATGTGAATACTCCAAACCCCAATAAAAATCAGAAAATGATTTGTAGCAAAACACGAGTGAGAACTTAGTTGAAAAGGGAAAAAGGAAAGCAGCACACATCAGTCTTATCCTTGTGGGAGCAATGACTGCAGCTGCTGTACAGTCTTTTAAACTGGTGTTTGAAATGAAACAGGTATGAGGAACTACAGCTCAGGTACTGCATAAGTAATTGCAGCACACTGGAAAACATCAGAATTTGATGTAGGTAAACTAAAGAGCTGACAGAATTCAGAACAACACATCCTCTTGTGCTTAACTTTTATGGGGAATAATGAGTTTTGTTGGAAAGAAAAACAGCTAAAAATTAAAGCCTGTACAGCACTCTGGTCAATAACATATTGAGAATGTAAAAGCTTTGTGCTTGCCACACCTATTCCCTCCCCTTTAATAAAGCCTGGCAAGGTTTTGCTGGAACAGTCAAGCATTGCAACATGTGGGTCATAAATTAACAGAAAACTAATGTGCCAAAACCTCACATGCAGCAGTCCATTTGTGCTAGAGCACCAGCAATGGTCTCCACCAGGCTCTAAGCAGAACACAGTGTCACAGTCTAAGGATTGTCAACATGCTCCAATCTCGACTAATAATAAAGCTCTGGTACTTTGCAAACTTCTGCTGTGCTTCATAGTATTGTCTTTATTTTTGCTTCTTATGAATTGTTCTGAAATGAGCCAGGGCAACCTGTGAGATACTTAATATTTTCTACGTATGTATGGGTGTTGCTGTGGTAAATATACTTCACAAGAAAGTTTTAGCTCTGAACCATGCTGATACAATTGTAAATACTGGAATAAATTAATGTTGTTGAGAAGACAAAATTGTCATAAAAATCATAAAAGAAGGAAATATACTTTAATCATCATCATGGAATACAAACACTACTCATTCTGCCAAAAGCTGGGCAGGAAGGGCATAAGCAAAGGCAAGAAATCTACTTTTGCAATGCCTTGAGCACAGGGAAACCCATCTGGGAAATTCTTTGTACATTTGGGCTCAAGACTGGGTTCTGGCTGGCTTACCTTTGTCAGCTTCAATTCCTCCATCTTCTTCCAGGAATGGATTCTGATTTTCCAATGCTCAAAGCAGTAGATCTGTAACACTGGGCAACAATGGTTGTTGGGATGCAGGGAGATCCAGAACACTGATTCTGCCAGTACACCCACGCAGGGGAGATGAAAAATCCAAGACAAGATAAGGAAATTCCACTTCTCCATAAATGCAACTCCACAGCTATTAGAGGTGGGGAAGCAGGGAAATGAGAGGACCACACATGAATAGAAAATATAGAAAACCCAATCTTGCCCTCATGGAGAAGGTTCTGTTTGCCTCTAAACCCAGGCTTCAGGCTGGGACTGGGAAGACAGCGAACAAACCAGTCTGAATGAAAGCTCCCATGCAGAATTCCACTGGGATTTAGTGGAATGAAGGTTCTGGAAGGAAGAGCAGCAGTCACTGGACAATGCACCTTGGTGACACAACCAGGAGATGATTCAGAAGCAGAGCCAGCCTGAGATCCTTTCTACATGAAACCCAGGATGGCAACACCTTAGAGCAATGCTTGTCTCCTACCCCCAGCCCCCCATCTGGTGGTGATGCTTCCCTGCAGCTCCATCAGACGGTGCCACAAGTCAGTGCAAGCTGAGGAAGAACTCACTGAAATATTTAAAGGCAGTTCAACATCACACTTGGAAACAAACAGTGCAGCACAGCAGTGAAGATTTCTAGAATAATTTTGGGTATTCACCCTAAGTCCATCCAACAAGAACTGGCAACAACATTTAAGAGCGTCTTTCTGAAAATATTTCAGGAGAGGTCTACCCAACTTCCCAGCACCTAAAGCTACACCCAAATTCTCTCTCAGCTCTCAAGTTTCAGGTGTAGAACATATCACAAGTGACCTGAATGGAGCTGCCACAAACACTGGCCCAGTGAGACCCAGAGCTGCTGTTCCACCTGCATGCCAGGAGCAGCAGTTTTGCTAATGGGGTTAGCGACAGCAATTATTTTCCAAAGCTAATCCCTTCTGAAATGTTAATACAAAAAAACTCATTTCAGAAAGCAGCAGTATACAGACATGTGAAATTACAAGTCTACACAGGAAAACTCATCACATTCTGTGACACCAATGATCACGTGAGTGACCAAAAAAGCCCCAACCATGCAGTTTTGGTTAATTTATTCCCCAACACTTCAGCTTAGCATCCTTTCACAGGGACTGAAACCCACAGTAACTATGGAAGCAGGAACACTGAGGCAAATGAATTAGAACTTTTTCTTCAGAGGTTCTTACAGAACATTTTTTACAAACTTACACATTTGGGTATTAAATTGTCTTGACAACTGTTTAAGAAAAAGCTACAGAAACTTTTGCCACAGCCAAATTAAATGAAGAAATTTCAATCACATGATCTTAAAAAACTCACTGAACAATTCAACTACTTCCAGCAAACACAGAAAATGCAATCTACCCAAAAAGAAAAAAATCATCTTTGGAGGGAGAAGAGGGATCAGAAAATATTGGTTCATCAGCAGATCTTTTTTTCAATAGAGTTGTTTTGACAGCAACACCAAGCAAGGGATTACAGGACAGATCAAAGAAGTGAAGATGAACACTCAGGGCAATAATCTTCCCTTGTTGGGTTACTGCTGAACCAGGTGAAAACATGCTCATGCTCCCTCTCTTTTATTTTTCTGACTTGACTCCTTTTCTCCAGCTATTCAGGGCTGCCAGCTAGGTCACTGCTCAGTTG